CAGGCCTAGCACGGCCCGGGGCGGCCGGGGCAGGTCTCGGCGGCGAGCTTGGCGGGGAAGACGTTTTCGTCAACGCCAGCATCGGTGTGGCCACCGACCTCCGCGGCGGCTCAGGCTGCAAGCTCTTATTTTAGGCAAAGTCGGTCTGACTTCAACTTGAGAGACGTTTACAGGCGCTTAAAACTCGACATTTTGAACTCGATAAAACGAGTGAGTTGGCACGTTCCTACTTTATTGTGGTCCCTGCTTTCAGGAGTTGGTTTTTGTTCTTTAAGCAGACTCCGAAAGTTTAGAAAGTATGTGAGCATTCAGTATATCATATGCATAGAAATCCCTAGTAAAGGTTCCTTCTGCAACCCGTATTTTCAGGTTTTAGAATAATGTATACATTGTGCTTTTCAGAAACTTAGAGGAATTGTTTACCAACCTTCTGACTAATGGCAAGGATCAGTTTTTGTAAGATTTTCGTATGGTAGTCTTCAGTGAGGACTTCAGTCCGATATGAGTTCGGTTCAAGCAACATAACAAAGCAGAGATTATTGTGTTTGGTAGGGAGTTGGACTAACCAGAGTTCACTGCAGATCTGAGACTTGAGGTCGGACATAGTCATTTATCCTGTGAGTGAAATGCTTACATACAAAAAGAATATATTAAGGGGGTTATTTTTCCAGATGGCTTTTTAATTAGAAAGACAGATTGTCTAAGTTAAAGTATGTCTTTGATCATACTTCTATTAGATGCATTAGAAAGATGTGGCGAAAGCCATGTTTAATTTAGTTTTAAGTGATACTTCACGTCAGGCAACTATGTGTACGTAAAATATTAGCAAGTGTATTGCTGCTGAGTGAGTTGCTTGTGTACCATGCTAAGTTTAGATTTTTCAGTGACTTTGAAAAAAATGGCACCAAGGTCAGTAATTGCATCTCAGGATAAACAAATAAAATCAAAGTCATGTTTGTCTTGGATTATTGTTAAGTTGCTTTAAAGTCATGGCAGTTTAAAAACGGGTACTATCCACAATATCAGTTTTAAAACAACATTATCTATTTAGGCAAACTAATGCTAAACACAATAAAATGTTTATATGGTGGTATAGATTACTGGGGCAAATTTATTCATCAAGATTCCTTTTTTTTTGCCTTTTTTCCGGTACCAGGAATCGAACTCACGACCTTGAGTTTGCCAGGCAGGCACTTTGCCGCTGAGCTAAATCCCCAGCCCCCGAGATTCCTTTAAAAAGTAACTTTTTTCTCTTTCAAAATTGTAGCTTTGTTTAGCATTCTCAGATGAAAATGATGAGATCACAAGTTTAGCATTGTAATTATGCCGGGCGTGGTGGTGCATGCTGGTAATCCCAGCCCTTGGGAGGCTGAGGCAGGAAGATCATTGTGAAGTCAAGACCAGCCTGGACTACAAAGTGAGCTCAAGACCAGCCTGAACTGCATAGCGAGACCCTGCCTCAAAAACACACAGAAAAAAAACAAACAAAACAAAAACAAAGTGTCTTACAGCATTGTGATTGTGTTCCCTAACATGTGAACCTTTAGGCCTGCACCTTTTTAAAACCAGAATCCAGAGTTACTAATGTCTTTGACTTAGCAGAGGAACACAGAAATACTGAGGTAAGTCTTTCACAGAGGTGTTGCCTCTGCTGTGTACAACATGGTATTGTGTTTTCTGTCCTGGTTCACTTTTTCATTGCTGTCACAACCCATTGAACTGATTTTCTGACCACTGATGGGTCGTGATGACCTGCACTTTGAAGAGCACAGTTACGGGCAGCACTTGGCTGGAAACAGCAATCCCTCACCTTGGTCCACTTTGGTGTGTGAGGAACTATTTTATATGAGTAAGTTTTCCAGATGATTGAAGCTTCACTCTTTCAATGCCAAACTTATTTTCAATTGTAATCATGATACATAGATTTCTAAAATAGTAATGCTTCTCTACCCTTTTTTATAAAAAGAAAAAAATACACAGACTTAATGTTTAACCTTTAGTGGATGATAAAGGGACACTACTATAAGTTTCAACTTTGTGCCAGGCTATAATCTACAAATGCTCTGAAAAGAGATTAAGTTTGAGATTTGAGGGTTTTTTTCTTTAGCTTAAAGCACTGCAGTTTATCATACATGTCCATATTTATATATGTGTGCTTTATTTGTTCCCTTGGTATCAAAAGCTTTTGTTGTTAATATGCTTATTCTTGTCTGCTTTAATTTCCTGCTTTCAGTTTGTGGGCTAGAGAGCGAGATAAGCATGTTTAACATTGAATTCTTGACAAAAGGAAAGTGAGTATGAGAACCTCTCAGATATTGGTTCAGCATGTGAGTAAAGTGTGGATATTAATGTAGAGACTCAAATATTTGTTTAGTGAGTTACAGCTGTGCTGCAGAGCATTGCTGCCTATATAAGCACATCAGAGCCTCTTAGCCTACAGGATTGGGTGTGGTGGTTGGCTAATAGAAACAGTTCAAGGGGGGAGTCAGAATAACAGCTTCAGTTTTTCACCTGTCTTCCTCTGTCTGTAACCTCCCTTCTTCCTTTCTCTCTTCCTCCCTCTGTCATTCTTTCTTTCCTTTCCTTTTCTTTCTTTCTTTCTTTTGCCCCCCCTTCTGTTTTTTTAGCATATAGTCTTTTTTTGTTAAGTAGTCAGGCTGGTCTTGAGCTTGCTATGTAGCCCAGGCTGGCCTTGAACATGTGATCATCCTCCTGCTTCAACCTCCTGAATACTGGGATTACGGGCAGGCTCAGAGTGCTGGGCTGTGTTTTGTTTTAGTTTGTTTTTAATGTGGTACTGAGACCTTGCACATACTAGGCAAGTGTTCTGCTGCTGAGCTATAATCCTAACCTTCTTTTAGATTGTTTGAGACAGGGCCTCACTATATAGTCCAGACTGGCCTCAAACTCACAGCAATCTTTCTGCCTCAGCCTCCTGGTGGTGGGACTGTAAATGTGTGACACCACACCCAGCTCCTGATCCATTTTGAGGGTGTGATGAGGTCTGGTTTTTTAGTTTAACATAGCCTTTCTTGTAGAAACCATAATAACGTACATCCAAGATTTCAAGTTTTGACTTCTTTGAAGTGGAATAAGACTCCTCAGTGGACTGAAGGTAGAATGTTTTATTTTTAAATAATTTAAAATAGTTTTTAAACTTACAATTTTATGCAGTCTTCTGTGCACATAATTCAACAGGAATTTCTTTTGGGGATTGGGAATTTATGTTTGTCAAAATTGGGGCTGGGGATTTAGCTCAGCGGCAAAAGCGCCTGCCTGGCAAGTGCAAGGTCGTGTGTTCGGTTCCCGGTACCAGAGAAAAACCAAAAAAAAAAACAAAAAAACAAAATTAATGTTTCTCGGGGCTAGGATCATAGCTCAGTGGTAGAGTGTATACTTACAGTAGCATGTGCAAGGCCCTAGGTTTGATCCCTACCACCAAAAAAAGGTATCTCAAAATATGTTCTTTCCAAAGCACTCAATTTAATTTTCACAGAAATAACAATTTTTGGCGCTCATGTTTTATTAGTTTATTATAGTAGTTATAAATAGAGTGGCATAAGAGATGCAGGAATAGACCAGGTTCTTGTTAAGTGTATGCCCCAAGTAGAGGATGTGGGCACACACAGGCAACCTGAAGCACCCTGTCACCTCCGGTTGCAGTATCGGCAGCATCTGTCCATTTGTTTTAATGCTGGGTGTACCATGGTCTGTCCTGCCAGTTAATAAGCATAGGTCAATTAGGAGAGATGATGAAGATATTTTTTCAGCACAGTGGCTTCATTCCACAATAGTCAATAGTATTTTACCATGTTTTTAAGGTTGGACACATTTTAGGCAGTTATGTAACGTTGCTTGGTTAATGCTGTGAAATATTAAGTCTTTGCTCTTGTCCTTAGCACCGACTTATGAGTCAGACCTGTATTATGTGCTTATTCTATTCTCACTTACTGTGTAGTCTTCATCAGCATTAATCTGTTTTCTTGTCTATAAAATGGGAGTAATTCCACCTGCTCACAGTTACTAGAATGAAATGTAAGAGTGGCTGCTGCAGAGTAGGTATTGAATAAATAACTCCAGCACCTGCCTGGCAAGCACAAGGTCCTGAGTTAGATTCCCGGTACCCCCCAAAATAAACAACTCTTACCTTGTAAAATAAAACATTACAGATGCTTGTATGTTGGCCCGTTGCATAGTTCTTTTACCCAACATAAATAAGAAAATACTCAAATGTGTAATAACCTAATACTGTTTTGTTTTGTTTTGTTTTATATTCATAGCATTCCACATCCCAAGGCTAAAGCAGATTTAATAGACTTTTAATGTATAGTTGTCTGAGAAAATATGAGACCTGCAAAATGATACTTGAAGTATATGTCTTTTTTTGGAGAGTGACTTTTTTTTTTTTTTAGAGGGAGGTGTTTTGAGACAGGATCTCGCTGTGTAGCCCAGGCTGGCCTTGAACTCACGGCAATCTTACTGTCTCATCTGTTTCTTTATATTGTCATGTGCGGTTAGGGTTATAGCTTAGTTTCTGGGTGGGGTGCTAAGGCAGAGTAAGTTTCGGGATGGTTGGGTGCTGGTGGTCTCACTGTGGACGGGAGATGGCGGCAACAGTGTTCCATGCTGTGCAGTTGGACCTGGCCCTGGATGTGTAAGTACTGAGTACTGAGCGCTTCCAGAGAAGCTCGGAACGGGATCTTTGTGTAAAAGGAGTTAAAACATTTCCAGTGTTACAAATGTCTGGCATCTCTGATTTTGTTCATTTGTGCTTTTCAAAACTTGTGAAGAGTAAGACAATATTTAATCATCAAT